GAGGGAAGGAGGCAGGGGCGGCTGCCAGCTGGGCACAGGGGGAGAAAGGGGGAGCTTCCTTTCCTAGCCAAGCCGGGGTGGTCTACATGCCTCTGGGTGCCCCTTCCCCTGAGCAGGCACGGAGCAGATGGGTGGGCTGAGTGGGGGGGTGGAGGGAAGGAGGGAGGGGCGGCTGCCAGTTGGGCACAGGGGGAGAAAGGGGCAGCTTCCTTTCCTAGCCAAGCCAGGGTGGTCTAGATGCCTCTGGGTGCCCCTTCCCCTGGGCAGGCACGGAGCAGGGGGGCGGGGCGGGGCGAGTGGGCGGGGCGGCTCCTGCCCGGGGAGCCCGAGTGACACCAGCGGGGACGGCGGGGGGGTGTGGGAGAGCGCCGAGCCGGGCAGCCGCGTCGGGAAATGCAACTGCGCAACCGGCGGTACTTTTCCAGGCACCGCCGCCCCCACGCGCCACGGAGGGGGGGGGAGAGCCTCCCCTCCCTCCCCCTCCCTTCTCCCAACCCCCCCCCTCCGCCGGCGAGGATGCCGGTGCGCCCCAGCGGCGGGGTCCCGGGCTGGGCGGGGGGCTTCGGCTGACCCGCGGCGCCAGGTAAGCAGCAGCGGCCGGAGAAAGTGCGCAACTCCGCCGGACTTCGCTCCCCCCCCCCCTTCCAGAAGGGGGTCTCCAGCTGGGGATGACGGGGGTGGGGGCTTTCACGCCCAAAGGTGGGGGGGGGTCTCAATTTGTCTGGGAGGAGGAGGGGGGGCTTCGCCTCTCCTCCCTCCTCCCCTCCCTCGTTACTCCGTCAATTTGCAAAGGTCCGGGGGGGGGCAGAGGAGGGAAGCATGGGGCGGGGGTCTTGCCGGACCCCTCCTCTTCCTTTTGACCCCCGGCTTTCCTGCCCAAAGATGGGGGGCGTCTCAATTTGTCTGGGAGGAGGAGGGGGGCTTCGCCTCTCCTCCCTCGTTACTCCGTCAATTTGCAAAGGTCCGGAGGGGGGAGAGGAGGGAAGCATGGGGCGGGGGTCTTGCCGGACCCCTCCTCTTCCTTTTGGCCCCCGGTTTTCATTCCCAAAGGTGGGGGGGGTCTCAATTTGTCTGGGAGGAGGAGGGGGGGCTTCGCTTCTCCTCTGTCGTTACTCCGTCAATTTGCAAAGGTCCGGGGGGGGGAAGCATGGGGCGGGGGTCTTGCCGGACCCCTCCTCTTCCTTTTGGCCCCCGGTTTTCATTCTCAAAGGTGGGGGGGGTCTCAATTTGTCTGGGAGGAGGAGGGGGGCTTCGCCTCTCCTCCGTCGTTACTCCGTGAATTTGGAAATGTCCGGGGGGGGGCAGAGGAGGGAAGCATGAGGCAGGGGTCTTGCCGGACCCCCCTCCTCCTTTTGGCCCCCGGCTTTCATTCCCAAAGGTGGGGGGGTCTCAATTTGTCTGGGGAGGGGATTCGCCTCTCCTCCCTGGTTACTCCGTGAATTTGCAAAGGTCCGGGGGGGAGGAGAGGTAAGCATGGGGCGGGGGTCTTGCCGGACCCCTCCTCCTCCACCTTTTGGCCCCTGGCTGCCGCATCCTCCCCCCTCCCCCCGCGTGGAGGGTCTTTCTTGAGCCCCCTCCGGGCGGGGGGGTCTCCCCAGCTGGCTCCTGAAATGGGTGGGGGGACCCCTCTCTGTCAATCTCCCTCCCCCCCCCCCGGGCCTGGGGTCCTTTTGCTGGCTTGGCACGCGGCCCGTTTGCACGCGATGCTGGTGACCTCACAACAGCCTGGCGAGGTTGCCTCCTGGGGCCCGTGGAACTCGAACCCAGCGCCCCCCCTCCCCAAACAAGCCTCCAGCCTTGCAGTGCGACACGCTATCGGTAACCCATCTTGGTTTGTGGGACACAAAACAAACCAGCTTGATTCTGGAGATGCCGCCTCTTCCTTTGCTGGGCATCGAAACCAGCCAGAAAACAACAACAATAATTAATAATTAATAATAATAATAATTAATAATAATAATTAATAATAACAACAACAACAACCCAGAAAAACTCGGAAATGGGTTGGTTTTTTTTGTTTTTTTCTATTTGGTTGTTTTGAAATGTAAAACGAGGGAAAGGGGAGGGGGCGCTCTTGGCAGCTGCCCTTCCTATTGGACGGGGTTGGCCGACCCCCTTGCCGTGGGTTGGCCCAATCAGGACAGGAGGGGGCTTGCCCTGTGCCATAGCTGCCTGCTGGAGGGCTG